AAACACTGCTGAAAGACCTAAGTTGAAAGGGGGTTGTATGTTAAAAAATTGAGAGACTTAATATAGTTGACACAGTAATACTCCTCAAACTGATAAACAGATTCAATCCCTATCAAATTTGCAGTTGCTCCTTTTTGCAAACATTGACATTTTACAAAAATTGATCCCATGATTTTTACGGAGATGTACCCAGGATAGCCAAGTCAATCTTGAAAAGAACTGAGACTCTAACTTCTGAATATCAAATCATACTACAAAAAACTTATCATCAACACTGAGTGGTACTGGCATAAGAATAAACACATTAACCCAGGGTATAGATCTTATAGTCCAGAAACAAATCCACACACTTATCGGCTGATTTTTGAGAAAAATGCCAAGACAATCCAATGGAGGAAAGAATAGTCTTTGCTACATACAGTGCCTTGAAAACTAGATAGCCACATGTAAAACAACAGAGTTGGATATCTACCTCTAGCCACCTACAAAAATTAACTCAAAATGTATCAAATGGATGGAAACCAGACTCTTGGTAAAGATCATATTGTAGTATATACAGATGTCAAATTTTAATATTGTACAATTTGAATCTGCATAATGTTGTGTGTGTTTTGTTTTGTTTTTAAGATTTATTTATTTATTTATTTATACAAGCACTGGGTACAGTCAGAGGCACGGGAGGATGAGAGAATTCACCAGAGCCAGAGCGGAGAATAGAACAGGCAGAGTGACAAAGTACACTGCTGAGGGGAGCAGCGGGCAGCAGGAGAGGTCTGCACGCCTTATGGGACCCTCACCCGGTGGCCGGGGATCGAACCGGCGCTGCAGAGGCTGCGGGCAGCTTCGCAACCCAGCCTTCAACTGCTGCGCCACCAGGGAGGCCCTGCATAATGTTTTAGACCAGTAGTACTTAAAAAAAAAGGACACAAATGTAAGCTCTTTAAACAATACAGCTCTTAGAAGAAAATACAGGTGTAACTTTTCATGACCTCAAAGTGGCGAGACCATATCTAAATTTCTTAGATATGGCAGTATAAGCACAAATAATAAAAGAAAAAAACAGATAAACTGTACTACATCAAAATTTAAAACTTTTCTGCTATCAACAACAGCAATATGAAAGTGAAATAAAAGCCCGGAGATGGGAGAAAATATTTTTAAATCATGTAATGATAAAAGACTTTCATCCAGAATATATAAAAAATTCTTATAACTCAACAATAAACAATTAACCACATTAGAAAATTGGGAAAGAATTTGAATAGACATTTCTCCAAAAAGATATATAAATGGCCCATAAGCACGTGAAAGATGTTCAATATCATTATTCATTAGGGACCACAAATCAAAATTGCAATGAGATACCACTTTTCACCCACTAGAATGACTAAGATGAACAATAAATTTATTCACATCTACATTAAAACTTTTTAAAGTCTCATGTGCTGTTGGTGAGAATATAAAATGATGCAGGTATTTTTTATAATAATGCAGCAGTAACTCAAAAGATTAAGCAAAAAGTTACCACTGACCTCACAATTCCACTGCAAGGTATATACACAAGAAATAAAAACAAATGTCCACATAAACATTTTTACACAAATATTCACAGCAGCAGTCATCACAACAATCAAAACTAATGAGTGGGTAAATATCATGTGGTATACTCTATATAATGAAATATTATTCAGTCATTAAAAGGGATAAAGTACACATACTTGCTACCATGTGGATGACCCTTGATAATATTATGCTAAGAGAAAGAAATCATAAACAAAAAGCCATATGTTGTATAATTGCAGGAACAGAGAGTATGTTGTCAGGGATTAGGATAAGAAGGAAATGGGGAGTGAATGTTAATGGATATACCAGTTTTCTTGAGGATGATAAAAATAATCTGGACTTACAGAATGGTGGTAATTGCACAATCTTGTGAATATATGAAAAACCTCTGACTTAAACACTTAAAAAATAACTTTTTGTAAGTGAATTATATCTCACTATTTAGAATATGTGGTGGCTTCCTGCCCCCAAAATTCCAACACCCCTTTGTGATAAGAAAAACAAACAAAAATACTAAGAAAAAACAGAAATAGATGAGAACTATACTATCTTGCTAAAGAACAACTAAACAAAGAGTTTAGTTAAACTTAGTAGTGAAGACAGGACCAGATAAGAATGTCTGCTCTTGCTATCTTCTAAGTTTACACAGTGGTGGAAGTTCTAACGAGTGCAATAGGGAAAGGAAAAGAAAAAAAAAGTATGCAGTTCTGAGAAAGATAAAGCTATTCCTATTGGCACATGATGTAACTGTCTGCAGAAAATCCCAAGGAATCTACAAAAGCTCCTAGAATTAATAAGGAAATTTAGAAAGTTTACAGTTTAACCTGTATAAAGACCAAGCTGGAGGAAGAAGAGAGAGGGTAGATAGGTTGAGAAAAGATGAGTAGTCCAGAAGCGTTCAAAGAATGTTTACACTGGAAATCATGGGGGGTTGAGGGGAGCAATTAGACTGGTTTTATTCCACTTCTACTGCAGTTTCTCTGTGCCATGGAAAAAATTCAGTGACTAGCAAAGAAGGAAGTTAGGTGATTTGTATTTTGACAGCTATGGAAAAATTGTACTGGTCTTTCAAAGTTACTGTAAAGTGACCAATATTATTTGGGTTAGAAGTTCTTAAATTTTTAATATGTCTTTAGATTATTCTATATTTACTAACAATTTCTATAGTATTACTGCATAGATATAGTAAAAAGCTGAAATTATAAGCCTGTAAATTTTAGTTGAGGCTTCCTTACCATTTTACTATTTCAACAAAGATGTCTGAAAGAACAGCTTTCCTCCTCAACCCTACCTCTTTATCACAAATACATACATACATACATACATACATACATACATAACACATATACCGACATACGCAAAAGTGAGGAAATTTGGGTGATGTTTATACCTAAACATTTAGAATAAAATGTGGTGCATCCAATGCCACAGCATTTTAATATTATTGATGATCAAATTATATTTTTTCATGATCACTGAATGTCAGAGTGTATACATATATACCTTCTATGCAAGGCCTTCAACATTAGATATGGTCCTTCTCTGAAGGTCAGCATTAACTTGAGGTTCTGTTTCAGAGTTACAGTACAGTCTTTAAAGCACAAACCTAATGTTCTAACATTATCTCCTTGGCCCAGTACATTGTATCCTAGTGCCAACAATTTTTAAACTGGGAAACAACACAAATTACCCAAACACACACACTCAAAAGTAACAGCATATGTTTAGAATGGACTGGGGCGCTCTGCCCACGCTCATGGTCAACCCCACTCAACACTGGAGCACAACTCCAAGGCCATAGTTGTGGTCCCAGCTGTACCAATGATGCACTTTCAAAAGCATATATAAAAGTATACATTAAAGTAGTGAGGGAATTACAGAAATTATTCAATGGTTAAAATTAGATATAAATTATATAGTCACAGGAAAATGAATTACAAGAGAATATGAAATCTGATTTGGTGGTAGTGGCTGAATCCAAAAATATTATTCACTTTTTCTTTTAATATCATGTTTTTACAAACATGAAAAAGAAATAGAAGAAGAATACAGAGGATTAATGATGGCATTTTAGAACACGTCAAGCATTTTATAAAAGCATCCTCTCTAAAGTCAAATTCCTTACTGATGATGGTAGCAATACAGCAGTGTGTGTGCCCAAAGATCTGGACTTTGTCCCTGCTCTGCCCTTATGTACGTACTAAATCACTTTAGGGGAAATCATTCACTTAAATATTTTTACTCAAAATATTCCAATTACGAAAGGTATGCTAAGATATAAGATCCTTAGCAATTCTAAAATAGCTATTACATAATGAGGTATCCAGAATTAGAAAAATTGTTGGCAATTGACTATTGGATGACTTGATTCATACGGTATACACTCTTTTCTTTCCCTGCTAGAGTCCCAAGAACTACCCACTTGTCCTCAAATAGCATCACTAAGTAAAATGAAAGGAAGCAACACAGAAAGATGGTAAATCACAATTCAAGTGCCAATTGCTATTTTGCTTATTTTAAAATATTTATTGCATTCCTACTACATGCCAGGGACTCTTTGAAGCACTTGAAGTAAAGCGAATAAAACAAAAGTCTTGCCCTCATGAATAAACACAAAAAATATTTTGTAGTGATATGTGCTAAAAAGGGAAATCAAGCCAGATGAAGGCACACAGAATGAATTCCCTTGGAACGCTGGATGAGTACTGCATGGCCTTTGTAATCCAGCAGTCAAAATCTAGATGGAATGGGAAAAAGGGACATAAAGATACTTGGGAACAGTATTTCAAGCAGAAAGAATCATAAGCACAAAGATTCTGAAGCAGGAGAAGCTAAGAATGTTCAAAATTATCAAGAAGACCAATGAGAGTGGACCCCAGAGAACTTTGGGAAAAAGCAATCCTAGAAGACATCAGAATGGTGGTCAGCTGAGATATTGCAGGACCTGGGGGGCCACAGAATTGCCTGGATCTCTGTGTGGTGGGAAACCACCTCTGGATTCTGAACAGGGATTAACTTCACTTGCGCTACATTCTCAAAGGATCATTCTCATCGCTCTGTGAAAAGTAGACTTTATGTATCTGGGAGAAAGGAAAGGCAAGGAAACTGGTTTAGAGGACACCATGACAGCACAGGTAAAATACCAACATGGTCTGCACTCGGAAGAGGGCAGCAGTGGCAGTAAGAATGACCAGGATTCTATCTGTATTTTTAAAAGTAAAGTCAACACAAGATCAGCTAATGGATTCAATGTAAGTTACGAAAGAAAGTCAATGATGACGCTCTATGTTCTGGCATGAGGAAGTGGGTAAATGAGGTTAAGGGTGAAGACCTACACACTTTACAAAAATATCAAATTCAGCCATTCAGAAAGTACATAGGCATGACTGTCACAAAACTGAAAAGGTAAAAATAGAGGGATTACTTTCTCTACTCACCATTTGCAGATTGTATCATGTTCCCAGATTTTTGTACTTCATCAAATTTTGTAAATATTACATTCAACCTGTATTAAAAATACATATAAATTATTATCCATTGTTGTTTACAGTCACTTACATTAAAACACTAATGTGAACTTGAGTCTCACCTCCCCACCAAAATAAATTCAGTGATATAAGTCCACCTAAAGATAAAAATAGTAATTACATTAATAACACTAACCATGGCCAACAATAACTGAACTTTTACTACGAACCAAGCACTGACCTAAAGGCTTGATCTCAAAGATCTTATTTCATCTCAACAGCCTTCTAAGGAAGTCTCATGCCCATTTTAGATGAGAAAATCAAGACCTCGTAACTTCATTAAGATTAACCAACACAGTTAAATTGTTAGCTAGGGTGACAATGCCAGCCCTGAGAGCAAGAATACAGAACGCTATATTAAACTCTCCATACTAAACATATACACTATGAAAAGTACAGACTTCCCCTATTTCTAAGCACAGACTAGATAGGATATTTTCAAAATGCTGTGGTATTAGAATACAAAGGCTTTTCTGGGACCTATGCTTAATTCAAAAGTGCTATAAATAATTTCTCTAGAAACAAATTTTGTGACTGAATAATCTTCAGCTTGAACAAATCTACATGACATTCATTTTCGATTAATGGGTCGTTTTCTCTTGACATTTAAATTGAAGCAAAACTCCTTAACCAGTCAAAATATTCCATCTTAGTGACACAAAAAGAGAGAGGAAAATTGGGAGTGAGGTAGTAAGGGAAAAAAAGGCTTTCCTGGGCAAAAATACAGATTCACTGCAATAGGTTGTAAAGGGTAAGATTCCAAAGCAATGCACTTCTCCAATCAAACCTAGGGTCCACTTCAAAGATCAGGTGAGATATTTTAGCACCAATACTATAAAGCAACCTGCCATACAAGTTCTAATGATTTCAACCTTGTTTTTCCAACCAGAAGAAAGCTTCCTGAGGAGAGACAGGAATTATATTCCTTTGATTTTCTGGATACCAAGCACTGTGTCATACAGGACAGTTACATCACTATGTGAGAGAGCAGAAGTCTAACCGTATTAAAGTTTTCCAGAAAACTTTAGCTATTTCATATATTCTGGTCTTAGTTTATTCACTGGTTTGAACACTGAGCTAGCTAGATGTGGAATGTATAAAGTTCCTACCCTCTACAGCTCTTTGTTTCTATGACATTCTATTCCACATAGAATGGTACATTCTAAGTAAAAGGGGACTCAAACACAACAGCAAATACAGTTAAAAACAAAGGGGATGACCTAGTCTGATATACAGCCTCTCCCCCTTCCTCTTTCATGGCAGCTGCCATAACCTTTGCAACCCATCTTTTCATTTAAGCCTAGAGATAGCTCAGAATCCTTCTAAAAACTGCTGTGGGCAGCAACTACCAGTTAATCAAATTTGGCATTCCATTAAAAATCTATTTGCCATTTCAGGACCAGGTATCAGTAAAACTATCACTCACTTTCAAATTCAGTGGTTACTAAAAATCTGGAAAGATGTCTTAGAGTCAATTTCTTAGGATGTTCCCATCACCGTCCCTTTTATAAGTAACAAAGATCTTCAATGGCTTGACAGGCCCATAAATAATTTCACTGTACAGGTTGCCAAGGCATGCCCTGACCCAAGTTACTACTTTATTGCATCATAACCACACCCTCTGACATGAGCATGCCTGCACCCTCCCAAGTTAAGGCCAACCTCTCTCTAGTCTGGCTGTTTCTGAAATTGCTGGTAGGGTGCAAGTATTCCTTCCATTCCTGGGAAGGTGTTTGCCATTAGCAATGACAACAGTGGGGAACTATCTGGTAGATTATCTATATGGGGGAATGTCTGCTCACTGTGGCCACATTACCACAACTGACAGGCCCAAATAACTAGGAATGAGAACATTAAAAAAAAATCTGTCATTGGCACCTGCACCTTAATTCAGAATTCTCTCAGAGGTGTGCCTTTCCCACTGCTTTTATATTCCTGTCTCATCGTTCTCTCATTCTCTGACAACAATACCTGTAACAATGGATCCTATTAAGGTAGCCACCTTCAGAGATCAGTAACCTGCTGTATGACGGTCTAACATCAACAACATACTCCTCATGAACAGCTTTTGTCTACTGATTCTAAGCACAGCAATGTAAAATACCTCTCTCTGGAGCTATCAACTTGTACAAGTGTAAAAGGGTGAGGCCTATACATTCAAGGACAGTGAGCACATAACTAGTGATCACCCTCTGAAGTCACTGACTTTTTCCCACTTTCTTATCTTAACTTTTTGGATCTTAAATTTGAAAGTTCTTTCATAGTTTGACAAATTACTAATACCTCTTCCCCAGTTTTTCTGATTTTCAATTTTATACTCAACTCTGTGAGCCAACTGATGTTTATTTTACTGTAAGATTAAGATCAAATTATCTTTTCCTACAATGTTTTATAATATAAATTAAAATAATTTCCTGGAAGCAATACTAGTAATCTCAAGCCCCACACATACAATCAGAATTCTTAATTAGCATCTCAGTCCACTACTCTTTCTTGTTAAACTTGGTTGCTTTATTTTTCATATTAATGTTCACAAATAACTTCACAATGTCTGCCCTCCCTCTGTTGATCATTATGATAAGAAAATGAAAATTTTATCATAGTAATTGAAGACAGTCAAAAACAAAGGGTAATTACAAATTTCTTCAACCAAAAACACTGTGCAAAATACATACCTGATAACACATCTGAATTTATCTATCCTAAAAATTAAACTTTAAGCAACTTTTAAAAAACACATTTAAAAGCCTACCAAAAAAATGCTGATGGCAAGCTACAAACAGCTTTAAATGTTGAATATAATTTGGGGAAAGGGAGAAGAATTTCCCTGTTGAACCTACATTCAAATACACCTAACAGTAAAACTTCTCTAGTACAATGAATTTTGATAAACAATTCCTCTGCCTCAAAGGTAGTTTCTCAAGTTTTATTTTTAAACTTGTGATCATGTGTTAGTCCTCTACTCATTACGAGCAGACAACCAAGGATTATAATACATATGAACAAACTTCCTAACATAAAAAAGAGAGACCAAAATAAACACATACTTCAAAATCCCAATTTAGAGGAAAGAAGAGACTACAAAGTTTTAAAAATATCATTACTATGTCCAAAGAGCTAAGAAAATTACTGCAACTGTAAAAGTAAATGGCACCCTTCAAGATGGCCAAATAAGGATCTCTGAAAATCCGTTTCTCCAAAGAAACAAAATCTGTCAAAATCAACTTTTTCAAAATCCTGGAAACTAGGTTTACAATAACCTGAAAAGCCTTCTCCAGAAAAACCGCTTGATCTTGATTTGATTTGCTCCATCCTATTTCTATCTCTGACTTATCAGCTGAAAACCAACAGCCTCAAAATCATGGCACTTTGAAAACTACCAGCAGTCTTGCAGTCACTGGAAAAAGCTGGACAAATCTGAAATTCCAGAAAATCCTCATTCCCTGAGAATTGTCATTATCACAGCTGTCTGGCATAACCCTGGAAATCCCATTCACAGGTTTATCTTTATTTGAGCTGATTCAGAGTATTCTCAGTGTATGACTCTCTCTCTTGAGGTCATGATCAAAATGAATCAGCAAAAAGTGTTCAACATGCAGCTACCTGAGATGGCAATTAACTACTGGGACAAAGAAACTGACAAAAAGCTTACAAGGAAAACCTGGAAAATCAAATGTCCAGAGAACTTTGAAAAGCCCTGACATATTCTTGGGACTCTAAAAGGCTGTTATATGTGCCCAGGAAATATTCAAGAAGACACAATGTTGACCTCTGGCTGACCTTCAGGTTCTGCAGAGCAGGCAGTAAGTGGAAGACAGTATATATAAAGGACAGGACAGAACACTGAACATATGCACAGTTTTTCAGCTAAGGCTGGGAGAACAACTGAAGACATTTAAAGAAATTTGTCAATCATTAGCTGACCACCAAACTAAAACCAGTCACACAAAACAAAAATAATGATTATGAACAAGGTACAAATTCATTGTACTAAATGGGACATTAACAACAAAAAATCTGGGAAGGGGAAGAATAATGTGATTTCCAGAGTTGCCACAATGTACCATTTTAAATCAGTTTCAACCAAAAAAACATATATGTAAAGAAACAAGAAACTATGCCGGGGAAATAACCAGTCAACAGACACTACACTTACAGGAAGCTGGACTTACTAAGTGAAGTTGAAGTCAGCTATTACAAATATATGGAAAGAACTAAAGGAAACTATTTCTAAAGAATTAAAGGAAAGTCTAAGAATGCTGTCTCGGTCTCCCTGGTGGCGCAAGGGACTGTGATACAACATATCTCAACATACAACATATCTGCAGTCACTGCAGCACGAGTTCGATCCCTGCCAGGGAGCTACATGGTGCAGCAGACCTCTCCTGACTCACCCGCTGCTCCCCTCAGCAGTGCATTTAGGTCAATCGCCGGTTCTGTTCCCCACTCTGTCTGCACAAAAACTAAACTGAAAGTTCAGTAGCGGGGTTCAATAGTGAATTTGAGTTGGGAAAAGAGTCAGCAAACCTGAAGATGGGCCAAACCAACAACACCTGGTCTGATAAACAGAAGAGAAAAATGGTGAAAAGAGCCTTCAGATCTTCTTCAGTACTAGCAATGCAACATGTACACAATGGGAATTGCCAAGAAAGGAAAAAGAAAAAGGCACAAAAAGGACACATGCATGCAGAAATAATGGCCAAAAATTACCTAAATGAATATAAAACATTATTCTACATATTCAGGAAGCTCAACAAATTCCAAATAAGATAGAGTTCCTAACCAAAATATATGATAACCAAAATGTCAAAAGAAAAGACAAAGGGTCCTCAATAAGGATGATACATTTCTTGTAAAAATAAGAGGCCAATCATCATTGGGGTGATATACTAAAATCCTAAAATTTTAAATCTCCAACAAATTTGTTGCTATATCCAACAAAATTATCCTCCAAATATGGAGAGAATCCTCTCCAGAC